AAAATACCCCCGCCGCAGCAAACCTGCAGACTAAGCGAATTTCAACTCGTCTGATTACATTTTTACTAAAATATTTCCATAAATAAGACATATTATTCCCTATTTAAATAACATTAGATTTAACGAGTGCTTAGGTTTGCTGCTACGGGGAAGGTAAAAAGTGGTTTTTGACCATACGTCAATAGTATAGGATGAAATAAATGAATTTGCCAAATTTTATCAATATATACCCATAAACAAGTAAACTACAACAATTTTCATTTTCTCCATAAGAATAACATGGGAATTTTTAATTACACTATTTTTGAATTTTCTCCGTGACCGTTAGGCATACAACAGCGCTTCAATATACTAAATTATTTCTTTTTTTAAGCTTTACAAAACGGTTTAGAAAGAAATCGCAAAATTTTTTGTTTTTAGGTTCAAAAATGGGAAAAACCCATTTTTACCCGATAAAACCCCCCATTGACCCCCGTTCCCATGGTCCGATTATGCTGGATCGCGAACTCGTTCGAATAAACGTAGGTTTACACGTTTGTACCAAATTTCATCAAAATCGGATCATTTTTGCTCGAGTTATCGCGCTAACGGACACACATATATATATAAATATATATATATAAATATATATATATATATATATATATATATATATATTTATATATATATATGAATTTGAACGGATGGTGTTTTTGGCCTCTAGGGACCTCAAAATGAAAAATTAAATCGGTCTCGGGTCCAGGTCTTACCATGAGTACTACGGTAATAGCTTATTCCCTATATGGGAAATTCGCTAAAACCCAACACAAATTAATTATTCTCCCTATATGAACTCCATGCTAACTTAGACCATCTGAAGGGCGGGGCCCATTGGGAATTTTGTAAAATCGCTTCTTATTGTCTGCCTACGCTATGAGAGGAATATGTATGCAAAATCTCATGCTTCTAGGTGCTATGGTTTGGCCTGTGCGTTGATCGGAATTTCGCATTTATATATAGAGATATGGGAAATTCGCTAAAATGTAAACCCACATCTATTCCTGAAGTAAGGACCCATATTTAAATCAATGTTGCACTTACTAGGCCTAACAATATTAACTGTATGTTGCATTCATCGATGGTTGCATTATTCAGTAAGTGGGATTTGAGAAGGATTTAGTGCGGATGACGGAGCGAGTGCCGTTCTATTCTTTGCCGGGGAACGGGACGATTGGCACACATTTTTGGATCTTCTGACCATGGCAGTATTGGCACAATCATTTGAGTGGAATAAGTAGGGTTAACTCGCCTACTTGGAAAAGGCACGATTGGCACAACCGCTCGACCAGGTAGACGCCATCGAACGAGGGAAAACGGGAAGTTTAAAATTCCCCGTCAACTTGCTACGACAGTCATTTGCCAGTAATATCGCGTATTTTCAAAGGTAAAATCTTACACCAATTTACCAAGAACACGTTTTGCAGACTCGAGAATCGCGTTTTAAGTTAGAGCTTATTAATGATCAAAATCAGCAAAACATTTTCGCTTGGAGTGTAAATACTATTTTCTACAATGCAAATTAAGTATTTTTATCTGTACCTATTACACAAATAAGTCAATATAAAAAAATTTTCGTTTTGCATTTCGTTGTTATTGTCGTTACAACATTTCAACAAAAATGTAGTTGACACTAAACATGTAGTTGAAACTTAGCATTGTAGTTTATATTTTGAGTAAAATTGGCATTTTACCTAATCAAATCAACTGATTTATTTATCGTACGTCTCGGACGGCCAAACTTTAACATGAAACTTAAACTTTACATCGGCTTTAGGCGATGTAATGACACCACGAAAACATAGTGTGGTGAAAACCATTGTTTGACAATTAGTGTACATGTATCTCAGTCAGTTTGTCTTGTAATGATATCGAATACGTTTAGCTATTGAAACAAACTTATCTGCAAAGCCCTTGTCAGTGTCAGTTGAGTGCTCTTATCGTATTTTAGATACAATGCTAGTGATTATGAAGAATACCATAATCTTATCTGTTTGTTTATTTTGTATAAGTAGGGAAACACTGATCCCACCATTACCTGTAATCACTAGTTGTACTACAATTATTCCCGTGTTTGGCAAAACCTTTGAAAAAGAAGAAACCCTCCAACGTTTTACTTCACAATAAAATAAATAAATGGTGTAATCAATCTGACACGTGAGTAAGTGGGGGGAGTAAAAATGTTTTCACCACAATACGATATTTTAGCCGTTTTATACAAACGTTAATTTGATGCTGAAAGCTACGTATTGCTGTCCATGCCAGCTGTCATCGTCATTTAGGGACCGAGCAGGTTTTTGCGGCCCTAGGGCCGAAAATCAGCTGTTCGCTTATTTACAACATTAATCTATACTATAATACGGATGCGTTGCAGAAAGTCAGCAGTGCCGGAAGGTCAAATAATTTATTCTTGTCCCATTAGATCAAAAACAAAATATTAGGCTGTAGCGCTAGGTCAACAGTGTCACTTGGTCAACAAGTACAGTCAGAACTAAAAACGTAGGCTGTGTGTATGAGTTTGACCTAGAGGAATTTTGACTTAAGTTTACAATTCCGACGAGGACAAAAATTTGATCAAACGATCTATTTTGCTGTTTCGATAAGTCAACAGTATATTCTGTTCAAAACAACGATAGTCCTCTCGACGCATGACTTCAATAATTTCGTGTTTTGGTGTACTTAAAGTTGTGCTAAAATTTTGAAAATTGGCACAGAGCTTCTTTGTTAGTCCTACTTGATTTTAAAACCTTTAAAGATAAAGAAACTGTTAGATTTGAATACAATATTATAAAAATCTGAATAAAATATTATGAAAATTAGGAAAATGTTATGAAAATTTAGCATATCCATAGAACTTTAGATAAAATTATACATATTTTAGCAAATTTAAGGAAAAATTTAACATTTTTACTATCTTGTTGTGCCATGACCCATTCGGGGGTTTAACAAAGATTTTATAAGAACTGTTTCTTGTTTCTTCTCACATCACTAACACTTAGTCACTAAAAACGCACAATCCTATTTTATTTACACTTATTTACATTCGCAGACGATTCATGGGGCGAGTGTGGATTCCGAGCGTGCGAGCGCGTGCGCAGACCGGGGGCGCTACATATATTTAACTTGAAGAATGTAAAAGTGTAAACATAAACAATAAACATCTGTTTTGACCATTATTTGTAACTAGCAGAGTACCCGTCCTTCGTACAGGGTTGGCATATAGCCTAAGTATAAAATGCTTATTGCAGTTATACTCAAGCTTTGCGTTCTCAATGGGGGAGAACACAGATGATAAAATTTGCTTCTTTAAATTTACGGTATACTATATAGTATTACACATCAACCATAACTATAATGTTCTACCACATCCCCTAAACAATAAAGAAAAATTAATTAATAAAAATTCGCAAAATATCACGAATTATTCATGAAATTAAAAACATATAAACAACTGTAAACAATCCTACTTTGACAGTTCTCATTGCGTATTCCACAGCTTTTTGTTGCTGCTTAGTTCAAATTAGCTAATAGCGCTGCACCCTGTTGGTAAATATTATAACTTTCCAATGCTTTTGCATATCATAGAACCATTTTTTTTTAGTTGAAACAGCTGGAAATAGTTATTTGTGTAACTAGTGGTGAAAGTGGCACTTTGCTGCACACGAGAGCAATGTTTACGATCTCGATATTATGATCTCGAGTGCAGCAAAGGCCTTTTTCACTCGTGTTACACATTATATTTTTCCTACAGTCACTATAAAGCATATAAATAATTAGTCTTTCAAACACTATACAACACGTTTTTAGGTTCAGCTGGCAACACAAATGGTGCCCTAGAGAAAGTAGTACCCGCGGTCCGTATCACTCCGCTATTTTTCCTCGGCAAGAAATGTGCTCCGCGTTTTGAGAATATAGTTCCGTATTATTTTGTAATTTGAATTGGTTTCCGCGCCTAAAAAAATACTTTAAAGGTATTTTCTTGTTTATTAAGATCGTAGGAATGTTCTAATAAAAACGTTTAAAAGAAAAGTCCAGAAAGTTCAGAAATACCGAAACTATAAACACGAAATTACAGGTTAAATCGTAGTTATAATAGTCAATCAGCTGCTCATAGTATTATGATCTTTAAGTGTTGCCAACCTATTTCCAAGCGTACACGGATTACGTGCATAATAGAACCACGCTGTTTTGTGTTGTTTCGTTGGAATCCTGATGTGCGGCAAAGTATAAACCGTACGACAAAGTATAAACCGTACGGCAAAGTATAAATATGCAGCAATTAGCAGCTTTCTGCACTATAAACAGTACAAGGAAGCCAACTTTATCGGATGACTGTAGGAAAAATTCTTTAATTCACTTTAAATATGAATACTCATAAGGTTGACATGGGGAACTCCAGAGCCACTGGGGCAGAGCCAGAAAGGATTTTTGAGATAAGAAAATGCCTATATGTTAATCGGGAATGTGAGCTATCATCATGCCAAATTTCACCAAATTCCGTCCAGTAGTGGTTGGTGCGTGATTGAACTTCAAACAAACAAACAAACAAATACACAGACTTTCACATTTATAATATTATTAGTAAGATGACAATGTAGTAAATACAGATGCAGGGATATGACAGTAGCTGAGTGGATACTAGTGCTCACCTGGCAATCAGAAAGACGCATTCAAACCTGTGAAAATGTCAAAAACATTTTGATGGTTTGAAACTGGGGCCACCTGTTCTTTCATCAATGAACCTTTGGTAAATAGTCCTTGCAAAAGAAACAGCTGTCAGTAACAAAGTAACAAGGCTTCTCACCCCGACACCATTCTACAATCACCCTTCACTTATATATTTGGGTTAAAATTCGTGCTCAGTTGGTAAAGTAGGTAATGCAGGGGATTAGATGAACCTTAACTAGGGCCCCCACGTTTACCTATTTATATTTAGTCCTGTGATGATATATTTTTTGTTACAGCAGTCATGAGCAGGGAGGAAGCAGAGAAGAACTAACAGCTATAGCTCCACGCTCAGTTAGTGGACGTTCTCCAGCTTCCACAGTTCACCAGGAAAGAACCAACATCTTTTTTCTGAAGGCACACAAATGTGCAAGTAGTACTGTTCAAAATATTCTTTTAAGGTTTGGTCTCGAACGTGGACTTTCATTTGTGTTACCAACATTAAATAACTATATCGGGAACCCTGAAATGTTCAGTGCGACCATGATCGATGAATTGTATGCCACCCAGAATAGGAAGTACAACATTTTTGCTCACCATAGTCGATACAGCAGTGAAGAAGTACGATCCATCATGTACGAAGATACGGTCTACGTCACAATACTCAGGCATCCAGCTGATGTTTATGAGTCTATTTTTTCTTATTATAAATTTCAAAAAATGTACAACGTAACGTTTGAAGAGTTACTGAAAACCCCAAACAGTGTAAAAAAAATCAACAGGCGATATTTCAAACGGATAGGCTTTAATCAGATGAGCTGGGACTTGGGATTCTTAGAAGAAGATTTTAATTCTACATCCAAAGTAGACGAGTTTATTAGTAAAATTGATGTGGAATTTGATCTAGTGATGATGTCAGATTGGATGGAAGCTTCCTTGGTGCTTTTGGCTGATCTTATGAATTGGCCTCTTGAAAAAGTTGTGTCACTTAAACTAAATTCCAGGACTGCAGATAACATCTACAAGATGTCTGATTTCGAGCGGAGTAGGGTTGTCGAACTGAACCATGTGGACTATAAACTTTATACTCATTTCTTAAATAAATTCAGGAAAAGAATAATTGATTATGGTGAAGAAATAATGAGAAAAGATATTGAAAGACTGTTGTCTCTTAACGATGATTTGCAGTTTAAATGTGTTCAAAGTCTCAACACAAAAGGATTCGGCAGAACACAAGCATATAAGCTTCGAGATGAAGGAAATAAGTTATGTTTCTTTGCTGCTAGAGGTGAACTGGCATTCACGGAATATCTCAGGCAGGTACAAAAACAAAAAGTGAAAGTTTTATCAAATCTTCAAATGTTGTTGGATGACTGAAAATGTAGATTTTAGATTGTTTTTTCCCTATATAACTATTCAATATGTTTACTTTGTTATTGTTTATATTCTGTTATTTTAGTACAATGTTTCATAACTTATTTATAAATATACAATTTGTAAAAAAGGTAATGTGTATTTTGTCTCTAAAACATTAGCAGTCGTATATCAAAATACATTTACACACAGTAGATAGGTATTCTCTACTTTGATTATGAGCAGAGAAAAGTAATGTACTGATAAGGTTCTTGTACCTTTTTTCTACCTATGTTCTTCTAGTTAAAATACAGTTGATAAAAAGTAATAGCATCCCTAACCTTTCATTACTATTACGGGATTGAATTTTTAGTACGGGACGGGATTGTTAGTTACTTTCCGATTTTCAGGACGGGATATTTTTCCTGTGCATAAAAAGGGTTTGTTTTAAAAGTCTTGATTACCGTAGTTACAAAAAAAATACCAAAATCAATTTTTACTGTTTGTAGCACTGATCTAAAAAAAAAATGGGAAAAGATTTACAGGTATAGAAACTTGTAACTCGCGGTCACTGCTCGATGGCCGAATTGACTCGGCAATCATGGCATGATCGTCGAAATGACTGCTCACAGTCACGGGACGATCGTCGAGATGACTCACTGTTACGGCGGGATCGTCGAAATGACTCTGTGGTCACGGTGTGATCGTCGGTATCACTCGCGGTCACGGCATGATTGTCGGTATGACTTTTTGATGCTGCTTTACTTCAAATAAGCTGTTATCATAAATTGCAAAAAATATAATAGTGCTGCAACCTGTTGGTAAACCTTATGACTTTTTAATGCTATTGAATATCATAGAACCAACTTGTTTGGTCGAATCAGCTGAAAAAATTATTTAATTCCTTTTAAATGTGAATAGGCCTACCCAAAAGGTTAACATGGGAAACTCCAGAGCCACTGGGGCCGAGCCTGAAAGGAGTTTTGAGATAACAATATAGGTACCTATGTTAATTGAGAATGTGAGCTATCATCACCCTAAATTTCAGCCCGATCCGACCGGTATTTTTGGCGTTTACTTGTCACAAACATCCTCATTTATAATATTAATATTAGTATAAGTATATAGTACCTGGGGACCGAGCTTTGCTTGAGGAAAATCATTAGTTTACTCTGAAAGCAGTTTAGTATTGCAGATAGATTATTCCATTCCCAAACTCCACACTGCTCGCCTTTACTACTTCCTTCACCACTCCCTACTTCGTGGATCTGTTTGCCCTCCTTCCCTATACCATTTTAGAATTGCAGATACATAATGCCACAGACAGTTCCCACACTCTGCACTGCTGACCTTACTACTTTTTTCACCATTTCCTACGTCATGGACCTGTTTCCTTCCCTTCTCATAGCATTTTAGGATAAAAGATACATTAATCTAACTGCCACACACGGTTCCCACACTCTGTGATGCTAAATTTTACTACTTCCTATGTCGTGAACCTGTTTTCATCTCTTTCCATAGCATTTTAGTATTTTAGATAAATTAATATAATTGCAAAAACATTCCCCAAACTCTGCACTGCTAGCCTTTACTACTTCTTTCACCATTTCCTATTTCGTCCCATTCCAAAGGACGTGGAAGGGATGGTTTCCTTCCCTTCTCATAGCATTTCAGTATTGCAGATACATTAATCTAACTGCTACCAACGGTTTCCAGTTCCAACTGCTCTCCACACTGCTTTCCTTTACTACTTCTTTTACCACTTCCTACGTCTCGGACCTATTTCCTCCCTTCCCATAGCATTTTTTGGGATTGCAGATACCTTAATCTAATCGTCATAAACAGTTCTCACACTCCGGACTGCTCGCCTTTACTACTTCCTTCATCACTTCCTACGTCGTGGACCTGTTTCCCTCCCTTCCCATAGCATTTTTGGATTGCAGATATCTTAACCTAATTCTCATACAGTATGTATTTTGTTTTGCTAGTATACTGTGGACAGACAAATTACAAGTCTTTTGTTTACTTTTTCCTTGTTATTTAATTCAGCCAAGATGGTTACTTAGCAACCCATAAGACTAATGGTAAAAAATGTGACTTTCAGTTTTATTTTTCTAAGTAATTAGATTTTTGCTGGCAGTTCTAACTGCAGTAAACTCGTTTTTAGGCCAGGAATAAACTATTTACAACATTTGAAGAAAATCGTCGGAGCCATTTTCAAGATCTTGGTGCAGGCATACATACAAGCAAACATTGCTCATATTAGAGTATAGGAGTACCTGGGGACAGAGCTTTGCTCGGGGAAAATCAATAGTTCACCATGAAAGCAGTCTTAGTATTGCAGATACATGAATCCATTCCCCACACTCCGCACTGCTCGCCTTTACTACTTCTTTCACCATTTCCTATTTCGTGGACATGTTTCCATCCCTTCTCATAGCATTTCAGTATTGCAGATACATTAATCTAACTGCTACCAACGGTTTCCAGTTCCAACTGCTCTCCACACTGCTTTCCTTTACTACTTCTTTTACCACTTCCTACGTCTCGGACCTATTTCCTCCCTTCCCATAGCATTTTTGGGATTGCAGATACCTTAATCTAATCGTCATAAACAGTTCTCACACTCCGGACTGCTCGCCTTTACTACTTCCTTCATCACTTCCTACGTCGTGGACCTGTTTCCCTCCCTTCCCATAGCATTTTTGGATTGCAGATATCTTAACCTAATTCTCATACAGTATGTATTTTGTTTTGCTAGTATACTGTGGACAGACAAATTACAAGTCTTTTGTTTACTTTTTCCTTGTTATTTAATTCAGCCAAGATGGTTACTTAGCAACCCATAAGACTAATGGTAAAAAATGTGACTTTCAGTTTTATTTTTCTAAGTAATTAGATTTTTGCTGGCAGTTCTAACTGCAGTAAACTCGTTTTTAGGCCAGGAATAAACTATTTACAACATTTGAAGAAAATCGTCGGAGCCATTTTCAAGATCTTGGTGCAGGCATACATACAAGCAAACATTGCTCATATTAGAGTATAGGAGTACCTGGGGACAGAGCTTTGCTCGGGGAAAATCAATAGTTCACCATGAAAGCAGTCTTAGTATTGCAGATACATGAATCCATTCCCCACACTCCGCACTGCTCGCCTTTACTACTTCTTTCACCATTTCCTATTTCGTGGACATGTTTCCATCCCTTCTCATAGCATTTCAGTATTGCAGATACATTATTCTAACTGCTACAAACTGTTTCCAGTTCCCACACTCCACACTGCTTGCCTTTTCTACCTACTTCCTTCACCCCTTCGTAGTACTGTGGATAGACCACTTACAAGTCTTTTATTTACTTTTGCCTTGTTATTTAATTTATCCAAGATGGTTACTTAGCAACCCATAGGACTAAAATGTTAAAAAAATGTGACTTTCAGTTCCATTTTTCTACGTAATTAGATTTTTGTTCGCAGTTCTAACTGCAGTAAACTCGTTTTTAGGCCAGGAATAAACTACTTACAACATTTGAAGAAAATCGTCAGAGCCGTATTCGAGATCTTTGTGCAAACATACATACATACATACATACAAGCAAACATTGCTCGTATTAGAGTATAGGATACTGTATATATACATATATAAACATTTTACGAATAGTGTTTTTGGCCTCTGGGGACATCAAAATGAAAAAGTAAATCGGTCCAGGGCCTAGGTATTACCATGATACTTGCGGTAATAGCTACCTACTTGGAAATAGGGAAATTCGCTAAAAACACCATTCCTTCCTTTTCCAACTTATTTGGCAACTACCAGCAATCTAGACTTGCAATGATACAAGTTAATTTTGTGTGGTAATTGTTCACTACAAAATTACATAGATAAACTGTCACTCGCATCGCATTATTGGATCCTGAACTAAACAAAAGAATTTTGAAACATTTTATTGACATTCAGTGGGACGTTGGAAAATATAAATGGTGTCAATTTTCTTGACCCTTTTTCTGCATCATAGCATAGATAAATAGAATGAATATAGATCGGCAGCAGTGCCGCGGTTAGCATATGTTCCGGCGCCCACCGCTAGGAGTGTCGTGTACTTACGGCTCACACCGCTGCAACATCTGCTGGTAGCATACGGCTCCTGCGCTCCTTGCCTGAAGCGGTGTGCGTCGTAACTACACAGCACTCCTAGAGGTGGGTGCCGGAAACTTCCTTTGACAGTCTATATTTATTCTTTTAGTCTATGATCATAGTTATTTTGTCATAAGATTCACCAGTCAAGTTATTCAAGTTTCACGATAGTTTTGTTTTGAGTTTACATTTCTGCTTAAGTACATAGCATGGATATTTTAACAAAATGACTTCTTTTAGTTAATTAATAATATCGAAGAGTTGATAATAGCACTTATTATAAACTTGTTTTTTTAAGGAAAGAGCTAATAAACACATCAAGGAAGGAGGAATTAATAGAAAACTAGCTTACAAAAGAAAAGAGTTCCAAATAGTTGACGGCACACAAAAAAGTGGTGTAAAAGCTATTTACCTTACAGGTGTAGTAAGAGCGTTTTTACATCATGCAGGTGAATGTTACATAAGTGATGTAAACACACTCTTGCGTAACGTGTAACAACCCAACAATATACAGGGGGTTACGTACAATATTTGTCATTATCCATTTCACTCATCTTCTAACAGTAACGTTCTTTTACAAACAGCTAGGCTATGAAAATACTCTAAAGCATAACAATAAAATTCAAGCGCACAGCTGATTTCCAGCGTTGAACGTCGTTTGCTCCATAGAGGTATATTTTTTTAAGTTGAGCACTCAATGTTACTTAAATGGGTTACATTACTTCACTGAGTGAGTTTTTGAAACTTTACTTCACTCGTCAAGTAAAGAAGTTGTATACATCACACTTGGGATAGGGAAGTTTAACATGGCAGGTTGGGTAAACTTTCTTTACCTTACCCACCATGTTAAACTTCCCTATCCCAAGTGAGGTGTTAACAACTTCTTTAAAAAGTAAAAAAAAACTTCTTTAAAGTTCTTTTTTCTGTAAAGTTTCAAAAACTCACTCGGCGAAGTAATTAAACCCATTCAAATAACATTGAGTGCTCAACTTAATAAAATATATCTCTGTGGAGCCAACGATCAACGCTAGAAATCAGCTGTGCGCTTGAATGTTATTGTTATGCTTTAAAGTATTTTCCTAACCTAGCTTTTGTTTGTAAAAGAACGTTACTGTTAGAAGATAAGTGAAATGGATGGTTTGTTGTTAATGATGTGTTTTAAATGTTGTGTTTCCAAGTGAAAATATCCTGGATTTGAGGGCCTCACGGTGGCCATCTTGGAAAAAACCGACTTCCGGTTGTACGATTTTGGTAATTTGTTTTCTGGCACTTACTACTCCTGTTACTACCAAAAACCGTTGAAAACCCTTTTGTTAGAATTTGTTCTATCTCAAGTGCCTATATCTACCCAAATACAAAGGGTTTTCTATTAGTTGAGTAATAATTTTATAACTGCCATCCCCAAGAAGTCCTGGCAAAATGAATAATGTTTTTAAAGATATTATAAAAAACGGTTAGATTTGGGTGAGCAAATAATTTATAATAACAAAATTAATCCATAAATACAGTTGTAGAAGAAGAGTGCTTTAATATTATAAAATATATAACTTCAAAATTGCTTACTAATAAATATCCTACATGTTGTAGATTTCATTTTTCTTAGTAAAGAATATCTTGTTTTATGGGTACATGTTATATCTTAAGTGCACAAAAATAGTTTTTCTCTCTTTACATCACAAGTTCTGACATAATGTATTTCATTGTTACAAATGAATTCACCATATAAAGGTTATTAAAAAGATGAAAAATGTCATTATTTATAAAACTTTATTTACTAAAACAATTTGTAAACACACATACTAAGTACTTAATAATATATAGGATATAAACAAAATTCAAGGAAATAAATGTACAAATGTTACAACAGCCCGAGTGACTCATTTCTTAAAGAGACTTAACTGACTCAGGCTTAATCTCATCTGTGAGCTTCATGAGGCGTCTGGGTTGTCTAGAACAGCCGTGCTGTACGCCAGATCCCAATAATGTTCAACACCAAACTTCTTGAACTGTTCTCGTGCCAACTTCTCAGTAGCACAAACCTTGAACTTCATTTCTCCAAAACTGCGTTGTTGCACAACTCCCTAAAGAAAAAAAACACACACACAAACAGTATACATTAGTAAAAAAAATCTTAAAGAACAGTAAAACCTACAGACGTATCAATACCACAATTTATCGATTTATTTATCGATAATATTAATTTATCGATTCTCAAAACCGATACTATTACCTGATAAACCAATATTTGAAAGTGACACAATCTTCTTTTTACCAAATTTTCTAGATGGATTGGTTATACTACACAAAACTGTTTTTATTTTTGTACACGAAGAAGGTGTCCAGCATACTATCAAAATAAAATTGCAATCACGGCCACTACATCTTTGATTATCTCTTGCAATCACGCCAAATTCGTGAGGGTTTCCTGTGATTGCGGCAACATCCGTGACTTGTGATAGTTTTCCCGATTGCGACATTTTTTTACTCAGTAGATTGAGAACAGTAGGGGATTTTATGTGCATTTGATGGTGAATAATCAAAAATTAAAACTTTCTGGTCTAAACTTCACGTACGATTCCCGGGTCATAAAAATTCACTTAGAATTCCCGGTTTCCAGGTTGACTGGACACCCTGATAAAGTAATTTTGGGATAATGGGGTGATTTTGTGGTAAAGAAAAACTAAAGCAGCTATAAACAAGACTGACCATTTACAACCGGAAACATCATCACTGTCCTCCATGATTGCAGAAAAATCCTGAATATCTCTCATCTGTTTTGGATACATGATGATCGTCTCCCACGAAGGCCTCACCATAATATTGAACATCTTCCTGTCACGGAAACACCATCATCATCTGATAGCAGCACAATCCTGCACATCTCCATTGGTAACAAAAACATGTCATTCGCGATCTTAGAAAAAATAGGAAACAACATTATCTTCATTCGCAATTGCGGCACCTTCCTGGATCGTGAAGACATTATCGTCTCCCACGATCACGTCACAATATTGAACTTATCCAATGGTCATGGAAATATCATCGTCTTTTGCCATCGCGGCCAAATCCTAACAATCTCTTGCGGTTTTGTAGATATCATCATCTTCTGCCGCAGCAGAAAATCCTAAATTTCTCAATCAGTCACAGGACCATCATTGTCTTCCGCCATCCTGAATGTCACCCGCGATAATAGAAATAACATTCATTATCATCTTATGCAATCACAGGAAAATCCTTAACATCTCCTGCGGTCATGTAGACATTATCATCGACTTCCACAATCACAGAAAAATCCTGAAAAATTCCCACGGTCTTGTGGACACCACCAATTGCAGTACAATGTTGAACATTTCCTGTGCTCACAGGAACCGTTTTTTCTTCCGTAATTGCAGAAAAAGCCTGAATATCTTTCACTATCGCGGCAAAATTCTGATCATCTCTCACTGTCCTGAAGACATCATTGTTGTCTCCCAGAGTCATGGAAACATTACCATCATCACCAGCAATGACAGCATAAGCGTGAAATGTTTTTTGTGCGATCATCGCAGACATTTTGGGTATCAACTAATGTCCAAGAATTGATGGGTTCGAGAATCAGTATTGACAGCCATAATAAAACCAAAGTCACAAATCAGTGTGTTCCTTGAAGTTGAGCATTTCTGTCCCTGGAATGTACAGTAGAGCGGCCACAGAGTATCCATATTTCCAGTTTGCATCAAACTGATCAGTGTAATCAGTATCCAGATGATTAGCCTTCTATCTACTGTACATTTCGAATTACCTGCACTTTGTTAAATTAGTTCAAGTATATAAATGTGTAATAAATTAGATTTCAAATAAAAATAAGTACGAAGCTAAAATTCAATTTTGTTAGGTATTGTTTTGCTTCAGTACTTGATCGTAACAAGAATTCTCTTGGTAAAACAGTGGAATGTGTGGATACTAAAATTTATCGATTCTTGATACCGATACCTGAAAAATCCATCCTTGGTGCCAAACCCATTTTTAATAGTTAGACCAAATTTGCGGAATGAATTGCTTATACTACACCAACCCCTGGCTTTACGTCATTCCAAAAAGTATTTTTGAGAAAATGGATTTTAACTAAATAAAAAATTAATGCAACAATGAAATATTCTAACCAGCCAAATTAACTTCCCTTAATCCTTTCTACACACATTAAATAACAACCATATCAACGGTAAATGAAGATCTAACAACAAATATTAAAGGAAATTTTACTTGAAATAAAACTAGATGTGTGCCAGCTTGATTTTTTTAATTGAAGCCAAACTCAAAGTAATATTGTGATCATCTCTGCTGTCGTTTGGACATCATTATCATCTCCCGCGATTGCGGCAAAATCATTGAACATCTCTCACAGTTATGTAGACAACATTGTCATCACCTCCCACGGCCATGTCCGGTCGTGTAGACATCATCGTTGTCTTCCAAGGCAAAATTATGATTATCTCCCGGGACCATGTAGACATCCTCATCGACTACTAAGATTGCGGAAACGCCATCGTCATCTTGCGCTATCACGGCAAAATCATGAACACATCTCCCGCAGTTGTGTAGACAACATCATCGACTCCCACGGCCATGAAAACGTCATCGTCTTCTTGCGCTATCATGGCGAAATCATGAACCTCTCTCATGGTCATGTAGACATTATTGTCGTCTTCTTGATCGCGTCAAAATTCTGATTATCTCCCGCGGCCAAGTAGTCATCATCATTGACTCCTGCTGTTGCCGAAATATCATTGTCATCTTGCGCTATTGTAGCAAAATCATGAACACCTACTGCAGTTGTGTATATACAGGGTGTTTATAAAAGAATGCCGGGATTTTAAATGGTCGTTGCTCGGAGACTATTCAAGATAATTAAATGATTTAAACGTCAAATTGAAGGGAAAAGAACAAAGTTTTTTCTCATATAATAATTGGAATGATTAATAAAATTCAGATTTTCATCAATCTTATATGGGCGTAAGACTGGCTAAGTCTGTACGCTTAGAGCGATCGGCGGGTTTATCTGATGTCTTAACTGAATCTTTTTAGGCACAAAGACTCATCTTTTACATATAACATCATGAAGTGTTGATTTAGGTATGTTCAACTGAAGACTTCGTCGGGCAAACGGCCAGGTGAATGTCTTTTCAAAACACTACGGTACCACGAAACTCATTAAGCCAGCGTAGGTGGCCACAAAACTTATTAAACCAGCGTCAAATTTCCTAATTTAGCAATCGATATGAACTCTGTGAACCACAGATTACACTCTGTGCCTTCTGTTGCACCATAAACATTGTACTGGCGACTGGCTTCAGGTGTGTGAGCGCAATAGCGGCCTACCACCCCGCACCTGTTTTGCACATGCCAAGGTAAAAGTTTCCTCCCTTGCTACAAGGGAAACAAAACTTGGTTATTTTAGCTTCAATTTGACTTATATAACGTTTAGTTACCTTGAATAGTATCCAAGCAATTGCCATTTAAAATCCTGGCATTCTTTTATAAACACCCTGTTATTAGGGATGGGCGAGTAGTGTTTTTTCGAGTCGAGTCGAGTAATTAGCCCTAATACTCGAGTATCGAGTCGATAAAATCAACGATAAAATCAACAATTTTATTTTACATATATTCCATCTTCATTTTTACGAACAAAGCATTTCTCAATTCACCAAAAATAGACCTGGTTAAAAACTTTTATACCATATAAAAAACACAATATGTATGTGTATCAAACTTATATTTTGGTGTTAAAGGTTTATTATAAATTGCAAAAAAAATTGCAAAAATATGGAACTAAGTGTTTATTTTAAAATAGGCCTACTGTAAATGTTTGAATTTGACTAAAGCATGAGATCTAATAAAGTTTCCTCTAATTTATAAATAGGCTTATAAGTATTTATCTATTTATTTGAAATTCCATGAAATTGTCTTGGTTAACTCATTAGTTTATAATTTTTTTTATTTTTATTACGTACCTAGCCTACATCTTGGTCTACAAATACTCTTTGTAAGGTAAGTTTTTTCCCCCAAGTGAGTAAAAACTAACTTCCTATATAATTACATTTTCTCACTAATTATATATCTTCAAAATTTGTTTAACTATGAAAAAGTCACCAAGTCTAGCTGAAAACATAATCATAAATGAGGATATTTTTGAAATACAGAATAACTAATCAAACAAAATGTTTAACACTTTTATTTCTCAACTTTTTTCCTTGAAAATGTCAACAGTTTTTCACTTATTTTTAATAAAGATTATCACTTATAATTGTTTTAAAGAAGTCCAGATGTGTGAACTTGAAGAGCAGACAAGAGACATACGTCACTGCCACAAAAACTCTTCTCTACTGTGAATGAACTGTTTATTGTGTGAAGCCCCACTCACCGTCTAACGGGACATGGGGGAGGAAAAGAGAAAGTTTGGCAGAATTTGCCCTTGTTCTAAAGCCTGGTTCACATGCCCTCCCTCACCCTCGGCCTCAGTCGCTTGCAGATTTCCATTACACAAGAGTGTTAATTATTTTGAAATACTGTAAATGTTTGAATTTGACTATGATGAGATCTAATAAAGTTTCCTCTAATTTATAAATAGGCTTAACTTTTTAAGTATTAATCCAAGTCATTTGTCAGTTTTTGTATTTCTTTTTAAAAGCAATTGCAGTTATACATTAAAAAAATTACAAACATCTTGGCCTACAAATACATAAATAATAGCCTAGCCTATGTCGACGTCTGTGGAGAAAAGTATGGCAATAGATAGGTTTTACTTTTAGCCTACAATAATGATTATGTTTTGGGACTAAAATCTCCAAAAGACCAAAAGAGTGCCTTTAACAAACATTTCATAGTTTTATTTAGTAACAAAAGTGTTTGACTATGTTCCCGGATTATACCAAGAACAAGGTTCGGCAGAGTGGATTCACTGTGAACCGGCCTGCCTGGCCCATATGCACGACGTCACTAACCTCCGTGTAGGGGTGTCAACAATGGATCGGAACAATCGAAGTTTTGAACCTGTCTGTAACCTAGTTTTTTATACTTAAATACTCATTATTTATAAACAAAC